GGGGTCCTTCTGCTTTGTGGTCTTTAGAAAAATCCCAAGCATTTCCAGAGACAGGAACATCTGCAGATGTTTCAAGACAACACAATCTCAGAGTCAACTCTACCATTTAAATTCTTTTAAAACATTAATTTGGCAGCCCAGCAGCATGGGCTTCCTAACTAAAACATATTGCTCAAAAAGAGTCGTGGCGTGGGGGGTTTGTCCTTGAAACACTGGTTTGTGGCTCAGGTTTTGATTTGATGTCTGATAACCATCTCTGTGTCTCTTCCAGCCCTTACCAGGAAGGATTGGTGAGACAAATACTCACAGCTTCCAGGGGAATAAAAGGAAAAGCCAAACAGGAAAAGTAGTTATGAACAATACAGCCCTGGCTTGGTTAATGATCAACTCTGCACAGACCATACTACTTTTATGCAAATACCACAACCTATTTGAACAGTTTTCAGTAATCAGTGGGTAGTAAGAGGCCTCTTAAGCATTGCATTTGTTTCATCAAAAGCAGCAAAGAAATAAAAAAGATGAGAAATCCCCAACGACTCTGCTATGTCAACATGCAGTGAGCAGGGTGAGCTCAGCTGTGTGGAGGGGTGGGCAGGAAGGGTAAGGGGTCAGGTTCCCCTGCCTGCACATTCCCATCACATCCCCGATGGAGTAGGAGGCTGTCTTCTGCAGCCCTACAAACACAGAGCACACAATGCACACTTGAATGGAGAAAACAACTGCTGCAGTCTGCCCTGATCCTACCAGGCTCTACAAGACATGAAGGGCTCATCAACCACTTTCTCTATTTCAAGCACTTCCAACCAGAGCAACCCTCAGCTCATAAGGCAACTTCAGTCAGAGCTGACAGCAGTAACTGGAATGACTCTGCTGATCTTCCAGGCTTTTTGCAGCAGTTTCCAAGCATCTCCTCCTGGGCTCTTAAATATCATTGACTCTCAGCACAATGGTAAAATACTTACAAAGCTACACTGCTTTACAATGGCACAGAAACAATTAAAGATTTCCAATAACATGCTGCTCAGAGGATTGCGGTCTAATTGCTGAACGGTCAAGGGTTTTGGCAGCAATAACACTGTAAGGAGATAAAAAGGCTGTAAGGCTTCCCATACAAGAAATAAATAAATAAGCAGCTCTCCAAAGAATGGCAACAGCAGCCACACACCTATCTAAGTTCCTGACTTGGCACAATTCAAGATTAGGTGGTCATGAAATTTCCCACCACAAAGGCCATGGCCGTGTGACAGAGGAAAATGAAAGGGGTGGGGGAGGACAAAGGGCCAAGCAGGTTACAGCACAGAGTGGCAACACAATGAGCCTGAATTACCCACTGCTGTCATTTACTGTACAGTTTGTAATTACCTGCACAGCCTCAGAACTTCCTCTTACACTGTGAAGTGTTGTTTCTTCACACTCTGCACACAAGGGCTATCACTTAGAAGAAAACTGATTACAGGAGAGAGCAACAAGCTGCTAAGCCGGGTCTGAAAGGACATTTTGTATCTACCTATCACTGAACATAATTCAGTTTAACTTCTTGGTTTATTTTTTCCCCCGAAAAGCTCCACCATAAACTCACAATGTTGTGAAGAAAGTGTCTACTCCTGCTCCTTCTTTTTTCCCCCCCATCAAAGTTTAAAATACATATAAAAACGGAGTTAACATCTTATAACAGAAAATAGACTGGTATGAGGCAAGCACAAGAACCATGGGAAGCAATGAGCCTATCTGTGCTTTTAGATCCATCTGGCTCCTGAGTTTTGGAGGATGAAGGAGTAAACAGGGCAGGAGTGCTTCAACGTGTGCTCAGCTGTGCCCAGGGAGGGCTCCCACTGCTGCCTGGCAGAAAGGAAGCCAAGGCAGAGTCAAAAGTATTTAAACACAACAAAAAATGCTTCAAAATGCCAGAGAGATAGGGGTACCAAAGGGAGGTGGTCAATCCTCAGGTTCTGCACAAAGGCTGAGCATCCCTCTGCACCTTCCTGCCCCGCTGAACACAGCCTGGTAAGGCTCACACAGGAAGGATGTGGCTCAGTGAAAGCAAGAGCTGGGTTTTCTCAAACACCAAGTGAGTGCCCTGATGGCTGGGTCATCCTGCTGTGTCACTGAGATAGAGAGCAAAACTGGGTGACAGAGGAATCTGGCATTATCAGAGAAACTTGGAAAAGCCACTTCAGGGACACCAGCAATGAATTGAATAACTCAAACTTGGCCAGAGGCAAAGGAAGCGACTGCAGGCAGGAAGAACTGATCCATGGTAATTCCTCCAGGTTTCTTGTTAAAAACTCTTTGATATTTGCAGACTCTCTGAAGCTTTGCTTTTTTTCTTTCTATCTTTCCTATCAGCTGCCTTAGAGTTTTAACAGACCAAAGGAAATTTTGAATCCTACACACAAATAAACTAGTAAATCAGCAGAATTCCCCCTAGGTTCAGTGAGAATAGCAAGAATTTCTGGAACAAGTTACAACTATAAATTATGAGCATTTTGATAAACACAAGTCTCCCGGACATTATTTGAATCCTTGTGAACCTGAAATGAATTAGACCCAGACCAGCTGACTACATTACTGACTAAAAGCGTCAACACAAGAGTAATTTCTGCTGATCTCTGAAAGTCAGAGCTGATCAGCCAAATACATCTACTAAAGAATACACTGAAACAGAAGTTTCTGATAATGTTTGGGTCACCAATGCCCTTCCCATTCCACAGAGAACACATTTTTAGCACAGCAAAAAACTAAATCTGGATTTTTAGGTCTTGCCCGCGACGAAATAAGGACATCCAATATTAATCAGCCTTTGTGAAATTGTAATTAGGAGCACAAACTTTAAATGCTGGCCTTTACCAGGCCAGCGCGAGAGCCACAGCACCATCCTGATTGAGAACACTAGCAAAATATTAATCCAGCACTCAGCCCTGTGAGAACACTTCTGCGTGGGCCAAAAGCTCTGTCATTCTCATGCTTATTAATCTTCCCTCACAGGAGGCAAAGGACAGCGTAAGCTCCACTCTGATAACTCTGTTATCTCTCTCCCCAGAAAAGGAAAGGGTGGTCCTTCCAACCAAGTGGCCATTTAAACCACCACGAGGCACTGCAGGGATCCATGTGACAGAGGGAGCAGAGACGAGCAGCATTTCCCCTTTCTTTTAATCCCTTTCTGTACAGTCTCCGACCCTGGGTTAAGTGTTTGAGCAGTGGATAAAACAAACACCTTAAAAGCACTTAAATTGTTACCTGGCTACCTACTCTAGCTCGGTAAATCATCCGGAGCTCCAAGGAAATGTTTCAGCCCACGGTATGTTAGGTTTTCACCACAACTCCAGAATTACTGCAACTTCCCAAAGCCCAGGGCATATCCAGTTTGCATCATTGCTTTGGAAGAACAGTTTAGGTGCATCTCTGTTAAACCTGCATTATCAGCAACCGCAGGGAAAGCCCTGATGTTTACAGGCAACATTGCGAACGGAAAAAGTTACTAATTACAAACATTTTGGGTTGAGTATGAAAGGCTCACAGAGACTTAGCTGAACTGATTACCAACTGCAGCAGCGATTGCTAGCGCTCACAAAAGAAGGCACAGAGTCCGGGGACTCATTTCCATATGAAGCATAAGCAGAGATATCTACTAAAGACTTCCAGCTGCAGTTCTAGCAGGAGCTTCTTGCGACAAGAACACAGTTCCAGGTGGGACCCAGCACTTTATCTGTAAGCCTTTCATGATGCTTTCAAGAGATAAAACAATCTGTTGGCTTCTTTAAAGAAGCATCAAGCATGGCTAGACCACAGCGACTATCTCTCTGCACGCCTTATCTACCACCCCATAGCTGCCACTTCCCTCCTTAATCCTTCCAGCCAAACCCCACAACACAGGCAGTGGCTGTTAATTGTTTATAAATTAAATGATTATTCGTATCTGCATATCAAAGGCGGGGGGGTTGTGTTGAGGTAGGGGGGGGGGGGGGGGGGGGGGGGGGTGTGCAGCTGGAGAGACTGATTTTCCATGCGGCTCAGTTTGGGACACGGAGACACTCTGCACTTTAGAGCTGCCCAAGACTGACAGTACTGAACAACTGCAGCAGCGCACGTCCCTGCCTTGTGACCCGCAGGTGCTGAGTGTCCTGCCTCAGACCTGCTCCTGTGGCTGCCACCCGGGACACCCCAGCCCCGCAGACCCCCTGTGCCGCTTTGCGATAAGCCGAGATCAGATAAAGGGGCTGATCTCTGCTTTGAGCCCAAAACACGGCCAAAGTCAGCGGGCCGGGGATCTGCAGCCCGCTGTCAGCGCCCAGCCCGCCGGGTCCCGCCCGGCACCGCGGGGGAAGCGGCGGCTCCGGCGGAGCGAGCGCAGCCCTGAGCTGCCCGGGCGGCTCCCGTGTAACACTGGGACAAGCGCTCGGACGGGACTCGGAGTACTCGTAGTGAGAAAAAAGAACAATCAGGGAAGTGAGCGGCGAGGGAGCAGCAGCTGCAGGGCGCTGCCCGCGCTTATCAGCACTTCCACGCTGCGGTGCCGGCCAGGGAAAAGTTTGCCCGGAGGCAATTGGCGGCGGAGCGAACTACGGGGAACGGGGCGGGCGAGGAGAGAGGGGAGAGAAGGGAGAGAGGGGACAGCGGAGTGAGCGCAACGCACGCCCGGGCAGGGGGAGCCGCCGGGAGCCGGAGCAGGCGGAGCGGCACCGCGAAGGGGAGTCTCGGCGGGCGGCGTGTACCGGTACTCACAGCTGGGCGATGGCGCCCTGGGAGATGACGGCGTTGTCGGAGAAGTAGGGGATCATCGCTCCCCGCCGCGGCGGCCGCCCTGCCCCGCGGCATCGGCACCGCCGCTCTGCCCCGCGCCCGCCGCGCCGCCCCCGCCGCGCAGGCGCGGCCCGAGGGCGGGACCAGGACAGGCCCCACCCCCTGCCCCGCCCACACCGCACGTGGCGGCGCGGGGCTGCGGGGAGGGGAGGGGACACGCGGGACCGGGACACGCGGGACCGGGACACGCGGGACGGGGACAGACGGGACCGGACACACGGAACAGAGACAGGCGGGACGGGAACAGACGGGACCGGACACACGCAACAGAGACAGGCGGGACGGGGACACACGGATCAGGGACAGACGGGACCGGGACACACGGATCAGGCAGACAGTCCGCCCCGCTCACGGGCCGGGGTTCAGCTGCCGGTTCCCCCGGCGGGCGGCAGCGAGGGACAGGGCACAGCACCGCGCGCGGGTGCGCCCAGCTTTTCCTTTCCCTTTCCTTTTCACTTCCCCTTTTCCCTTCCTCTCCTTTTTTTCTCCCTCAGATCTAGCCAGCGAGGCTGCACGCCCTGCAACCGGGTTTGATGCAGCACATCAAACGATGTTTTGCAAAATGCAGGCAGCGACAACTCGGGTGCTTAGGAAACGACCTTAATTTCTCTCCTGCAGGAGACGGGGGGAACAGTTCTTGGCAGTAACTTTCATATGCAGAGACGCGACAACTTGCTTTCTGCCAAAGGAGAAGAGAAGCAGCTGCCTTTCAGTGCTGTTTAATCTTTAGCTCCATCGTCCCTCGAGAAAAGGAAGAAAGGAAGTTATTTAAAACAAAAGTCTTGTCGTTTGGCTGCTGGGAATTCAGATGTTACAGTGCGAGGGAAACTTAATACGGTTTTCCACTGGGGAGAGCCGGGGGCAGCTCGATCCCACCCGGCACTGCCCATCCCGGACCGGCATTCTCCAGCCCTTACACCCAGCAAGCAGCGCGGGCGAACAACCAAGGAGCCCTGGATTGGAAGCAAGCTCAGTTTTGTGTTTCCCACAGGAATGCATGACAGCCCAGCACAGAGGAACATGATATACCAGTCTTAAGTCATCTGCTCTAGGTGGCACATGCTCAGCAAGGAGGCACAAGTGAGCTGGCAGGGGAAGATGTGAGTTTAAACACAACTACTTGTTAATGACATCTACTCAAGAGCAAAAAATACCAAGGCATCAGCTGCAGAGCTGCCCCTGTGATCTGGCAGCAGAGCTGGAAGCCAAAAGCTTCATCAGCTTTATTTCCAAATATTAATTAAAAGTTTCAGAGAACCAGAAAGAGGTTGAAAAAAACCAACACAGTGTGATGGGAGCTTCTTCAGGTCTTGATAGGAGACTTGACATGAACAAGAAGAGACTCCTCTGAAAGGTGTTGACCATCTCCACTTCAGGGATGGGCAGAGAAAAGGGCAAAGCAGTGGAATTTGTGATTCTGTAAGTTTTGCTAGGGTATTGTTTGGTTACAATAGTTTAAGCAATGTCATCCTGTATAGCCAAGAGCGCAGCTCTGGTAATGGTGCCTCACAGCTGTAAAGAAAATGCACTGCCAGCTTGCTGCAATGCCAGAAAAAAGTAATTTTGTTAGGCAGAAATGAAGTTAGTTGCAAGAAGCAATGGAAAAATCAGGACTGAGAAATGGAGGGTAACTCAATCCTTCCAGAGGTCAAGAGACTGGCAAGAACCTCATATTCTGTAGTAACACATACCACACATTCACAGACTGAAAAACAAGCCCAGAACTTCTGTTCTATTCTAATTAATAACTTAAGGGCTTTATTCAATCATTGTAGAAGACTAAATGTACTTAGATACTGTCCAGACACGTCAGATTTCTTACACATAACCACCATTACAAGGCAAGCCCCTAAAACCTGCTGAAAACAAGTGCAGTGATTAACTACAAGCAGCTACTCATAACATATGGATAATAGATTTGTTAATGAATTAGGTCTGGATTAATACAATCATGCACTGCATCTCCATATGCCAGGGAACCAAGTGATGACAGAAATAACCCATTTGTTTTCTTTTCGAACCTTTAGAGAACAGAAATAGGAAATCCTCAAATAAGTTCATATCTTGAAATCTGCACTAATAAAAGCTATTTGAACTTGGGTTTGTTGCCATAAAGATTGAAACCCCAGCCTCAAAGTGGCACTGCTTTCAGGTACATGTTAGTGAGATTAGCATTTCAGTTCCCACTGTCCATTTGTGGAGACTCAGAGAATCATTAAGGTTGGAAAAGACCTCCAAGATCAAATCAAATCTCTGACCCATCACCACGTTCTCAACCAGACAGCAGCAATAAATGCTGTGTTATTTTCATACTTTGCTTTTAACATCAGACTTAAGGAACTCTATTTCTTTGTCAAAGTTGCTGCTATGTTTAGACATGGGTAAAAGTTTAGACCCAGTAAACTGATCTCTCAGCACACAGGAGCAAGGAGCAGGCAGAAAGAAAGGGATGCACGAGATGGAGTTTAGGCAGCAAGTCATAAGACAGCCAAGAAACTGCTCGTGGCTGGAAGCAGGTGCACTCTGCTGGGACAAATACATGAAGAATTTAAAGCGCACAAAATTGCAGTGATGACAGGTAGCAGCCTAAATCACCCCGTGCTGCAACAGAGCATGTGAGCAGAGCCATTAATCACTGCATGACAAGATGTAAATACGCCTGTCTGGGGTCTCAAGTGCTGCCCAGCCCAGTGCACCAAATGACACTGCTGCAGGGCAAAGGGCACTGCTTGTCTGAGTTCTGCCCAGCATTTCCCACTCCCCAGGAGGCCCTGGGATCAGCGGGGCAGGCAGCAAACCCCGCAAGGCACCACGACACCACAAACCTGTGGGGCAGCAGGATCCCATTTAACCTTTGAACACCACACGAATAAACTGGGGTTATATACAGCACGTGAGACACACTGTAAAAACACCCATCCCCAAAGCTTTGCTACACTAAGGCAGCAGCTAGAACCAGTTATGGAAGCACAGTGGAAAAAAAACAAGGAGTATACGCCTGTCTGGGGTCTCAAGTGCTGCCCAGCCCAGTGCACCAAATGACACTGCTGCAGGGCAAAGGGCACTGCTTGTCTGAGTTCTGCCCAGCATTTCCCACTCCCCAGGAGGCCCTGGGATCAGCGGGGCAGGCAGCAAACCCCGCAAGGCACCACGACACCACAAACCTGTGGGGCAGCAGGATCCCATTTAACCTTTGAACACCACACGAATAAACTGGGGTTATATACAGCACGTGAGACACAATGTAAAAACACCCATCCCCAAAGCTTTGCTACACTAAGGCAGCAGCTAGAACCAGTTATGGAAGCACAATGGAAAAAAAAACAAAGAGGGACGTCTGAGCAAGCACTTCAGGAGGGGGGAGCAGAGGGAATGCTACCAGAGCTGCCTCTGGAAAGAAGTTTCAGGGGCTGGAAGGAGAACATGCATGCACAAATCTCCCACATTGACTTGTAGTGTTTGGTCTGGCAGACGAGGCTGACAACATATTGTTTATTCATACAGTCATCATTCTCCCCGGTGTCTGCATTGCAAAACTCCACGATCACAGCAGCTTGTACAGAACCTTCAGCTGTGTCACCTTCCTGGTGCATTTCAACAGTTTTTGATCTCCCAGTGGTGTAACAGAGTAATCCTGTGTCCTACACAGGACTAGCACTTGCTAATGGGCTTCTCCTAGTCCAGCCCAGGCCCCGGTGCACAGGTCAGGCTTGGCACTGGCATGCCCAGATTTGAAACTTGCAGCAGGCATGCTCAGAGCTGGACACCCAGTCGTGTCAGTGCACATAGTCCACATGCAAACAGGGCATTCATCAAGCTTCTGTTTCCATCCAAGATCAACAGCTTCAGGCTGAATTGCTGCTTCTTGTCAGACCACACAAAGGTGTGGGTGTCATCGTGTTCCACCCACTCCTATCCCACAGCGCCTTGCTAAGTGTCTGCTCACGTGTTAACATGATTAAATCTGCAGCACGATTGTTTTATTAGGCATCTTCAATTTTTAGTCTACACTAAGGGGGACGTGATGACCTCTTTCCATTTTATAGTACACCTACCAGTGAGATGTCCTCTGGTCCCCTCAGTTCTCTCTTTTTGAAGAACACTTTTTTTGAATGAACACAACATACTGTCATAGTCTTTCTGACTGCAGTGGGTGTCAAGGGTTGGGTATTATTAAGCCTGTTTGGACTGAAGTCCAGGTACTCTCTGCAAAATCAAGGAATGTTCTGTTCCTACAAGCATGGAAAGTACTACAGCTGTAACACTGGTCATGTTCAAGGTAGAGGGGACAGTGGGAGGCTATCACACATAGGAATTTTGCCCTCAATCATTATTATCAGTATCACAGATAAGGCAATGCAGAACCCAGACCCATGTTTTCAGGGGATTATGAAAAAAACTTGTGAAGCCGCTTTGTTAGACAAACAAACTTCCCCCTCACCCCCAGCACATCCTCTCCCTGCTGAGCAATGTGCCACGGCCGTGTCTGCTCAGCCACCTTTACTGCACATGTGGAAAGTTTATTCTGTACTGTTCAACAGCTGTTTCCGGTGATATTTATGAAAAGTCACCTAGTTTTAAAAACAACACGTCCCTGCCCACAGCCGAGCACGGGAGCCTTGCACAGGCACGGCTGGGGAACAGAGGTAGCGAGTTCATTTCCGTGTGCAGAGGTGGGGCCAAGTCCTTTTTTGTTCTCACCGGCAGCTACGCTCAGTCTTTGTCCACAAAGGCTGCTGTCTCTGCATCAGCTCTGGTGGGAAAAGGGTCCTAAGGGGTAGCCTTGAAAAATTAGCTGCCACACTGAGCTCTTTGAGGGTCAAAGGACCTGATGACCCTGCATTTCTGGTGGGAAGTCAGTTAAGTCATGCTTTTACTGTGAGGATATGTGGCTTTAAGCACTGAACAGAGTCGACAGATGAGTGTGAGTGGATTAAGCGTCCAAACAGATGATTTATTTGGGAAGAGCCTTAAATTAGTGCAGCGAACCTGTAAATAGGTAGAGACCACTGGCTGAGAGCAGCACCTCTTGCACTCATCTCCTACTGCTGCCTCCACACCTCGGAGGAGAAGCTGATCTGTCAGAGGCCTTCTGGATGGTTCTGGCATGGGAGACAAAACCTTCTGCATTCTGCAGTCCAATTTATCAGGAAAACATGAACGATTTCAGTAGCAGGCATCATAAACAAGCCAATGCACGCAGGGCAGAAGGAGATGGAGTACACAAAGCTTTCCCAGTGATAACAGACATACCACCCACCAAGGCAGGGCTTACATACCCCAGCTGCATTACACACAGCCAGGGGAACTTAACCAAGTAATTATAAAGGAGCCCATATCTAGTTAAAACAAAACCAAACCAAACAAAAACTAAAAAAGAAAAAAAAAAAAGAAAAAAAAGAAGAAAAAAAAAAAGGCAGGGGGAGGCAGGAACAGGGAAAGCACGCAAAACTGTACTTTAATCCTGAAGAACCAGTCAGAACAGGAAGCCACATTCTAAATTTGGTTATTTAAGCTGTCAAAGAGTATTTCTGTTTCCAGTTCTTGAGCAAAGAAATCAGCCAAGTACAGGGGTAGGGAGATAAGCATCACTGAAAGAACAAACCCCTGCTTTTAAAGCCCTTTGGTCAGCTGCCCATCATGATCGATGATTAGGCTGCCTAGCTGAGAATTCAACACCTATTTTGCAATATTATCAGTTCATTAAACCCTTCCCTCACCAATCCCACAGCCAATCACTGTACAGTTTACTTATCATTAAATCTTCGAGGGTCTGACACAGAGAGGTCAGTGCTCAATTACACCCTTTTTTACAGAGCCTGAAGCAAAGATGACTGAAGGGACCCGAGCAGGAGAAAGGACACAAGCAGCAATGTCTGCTCCCAACAAGCAACACCACTGTAGGTAATGTATTATTTCAGTGACCTGTGGAAAAGAAAGATCTAAATCCTCCCAACTGTCAAACCATCCACTCACCCAATTTTATAAAGGAATGTTTTTGATGCAAAGACACCAAAGAGCTGAACGGCAATGAGTCCAGAAACCCTGGCTCAGATTATCAAAATACATTTAAGTGAAATCCATGAAATGCTGAAAACTGAAGATTCATGTTTAACTTTGAATTGTGAAGGTGTCTCACCAGGAAAGGGAATTTCAGAGTTTCTATTCTAAAGGAATAGAAATCCTTTAGCTTAGAGCTCCTGGTTCATGCTCAGCAGGAGACAGAAGCACGTATGGAATCCTTAAGGCACTCCTGGTCAGCCCCTCCTCTGTGACCCTCTGAAGGAGCACAAGTGTGTGGGAGCAGCTGTTCTGGACTCTGGACCCTTTTGGTAGCTGAAGGACCTGACCCACCTTCATTCCTTTTACTTCCCAGCTTGTCCTTGCCCTGTTCCTCATTCTCCTCTGTTCACACGCTTAGAATGACAAATTCAAAACCACTTTTCATATGCATTCAGATTTTGAGCTAGCTCCCTGTGTTTACCTGGTAATTTGGCAATGCAACGATATTACTCTGCTTGATCCTTCAGCCTGAAGATCACACCTGAAATCATCTCACACATTATTGTGATCCACAGGTATGTCATCGGACTGGACTGAACACGTCGCAACCACAAACAGACCTTGCAGTGAACCAGCCCTGCAGATACCTGTTACTAATCTAATAAACCCAAATTTTACTGCCAGTTCAATACCTTTGCTCACTGTTTGGTGATAAAAGAAGTGGTATTCAAAAATGAAGGCCACTGTAATGAATCGTGGCCCGCAGAACTTTTTCTGGTGGTCAGCAGAGCTGGCAAATGACCAGAACTGTTCTTTACCTCGGCATTACACTCTCCCCAAGCAGCTGTAGTAAATGCCAGAGAGAGGCTGAGCTGTCACTGAAAGGAAAGACAGAAAGATGAATTCAGGAAACACATTCTAAAGATAAGGTTCGTACTACAAGAGCTTAGTAATCTCCAGCACGGATAAACACACGTTCTCCTGTACAGCACAGACACAGCCCCATCTTCCTCAAGATGGAGTTAACAAACTGTCTTGCACACCCAATAAAGATCCAGCTACTGTTCAAGTACCAACAGAGTAATTGTTTGGCAGCTGCAGCAGCGAGCAAAGGCAGCACAAGGAAGGTTTAGTTGCCAGAATTCTCAGCACAAGGCTTTTGGAAGTCTCTTGTAACACCAGAGAGGTTTTAAGGATAACCAGGAGCCTGCCACAGGAGCACCAAATGGTGATGACACACATCTCCAAAAGTCACAGGATGCTGCAGATCCCCACATCTCAGTGTGGAGTGTGAATGAGCCTTTGGAAGTGCAGTCAATTCAGTATCACACGGTCAGCCCCCATTTCGTGCAGGGACTAACACATATTGTACAACGGGTCTCAGTTTAAAAATCAAACACCTTGGCTTACAGTTTATTGAGCTGCTGCCCTGCAGAAGAAAGCACCTATTTAACTTAGTCTTTGAAAAGCAACTTTTATACTGCTATAAACCATCAGCTCCTGCATCAGACTCTCTTCTGCTCCTAAAACAAAGGTATTTACTCACAGCTTGAGACCTTGAGGCAACTTGGCACATCCAACTGTTATCATGGCAATAATCTGATTTGCTTTCCTTCCCAGTTCACTCCTGGAAGGAACTATTTTGACTAAAAAAAAACAAACCAGAAGGTAACCATACTTGTGCTGCAGAAGGTGTGGGGTTTTTTTTTTCTTTTTAAATTATAATTTAACACCACACTCTTGCCTCCACTTGAAGAGGGGAGGACAAGCACTTTCTGAGAACATTTTCAGGTAAGAAGCTTCAGATTTCAAGCCGGATGTAATCACTTTCTGTGGCACCTGAAGGGAACGACAGGCTCCTCAGCTTTACCTGAGCAAACGGACTTTAGTCTGACCCACTGCCAGGCCATAAAAGTTCAAAGAATCCCTCTGAAGTCCCTGGCAGCCACACTAGGCAATACAGCTCACCCAGTTTTATATGCTCAGTTACTGAGCAGCCTCAAATGCTGCATTTCAGCAAGCAGAGCAGTTTCAAGGCACCAGAAGTGGTAAAATCCTGATGGTGTGGAAATAGAGGCACCATTTAAAACATAAACCCCAAAAAGCAAGCAGCAGATCCTGACAGCAAATCCAGTGCAGCTGCAGCACCGCTGCTGCCCCGACCCCTGGAGATGTCAGCAAAACAAAGGTGCTGAATCCTTGCAACCTTGGCACAGGGCACACAAAACCTGAATGCAATACAGCTCACCCAGTTTTATATGCTCAGTTACTGAGCAGCCTCAAATGCTGCATTTCAGCAAGCAGAGCAGTTTCAAGGCACCAGAAGTGGTAAAATCCTGATGGTGTGGAAATAGAGGCACCATTTAAAACATAAACCCCAAAAAGCAAGCAGCAGATCCTGACAGCAAATCCAGTGCAGCTGCAGCACCGCTGCTGCCCCGACCCCTGGAGATGTCGTTTGTCAGCAAAACAAAGATGCTGAATCCTTGCAACCTTGGCACAGAGCACACAAAACCTGAACGTCAATACCTCAGCGGGTGTAAACACAACTCACAGCTCAATACATGTGTGTTTTAGGTAAATTTTAACAACCTGGGGATGCTGCAAAGAGCTCGTTAACACAGATGCTCCATTAAGAGTGTATTCAGTGTGGCAGCAGCGTGTCTGGGGACAGGATGGATGTGCAGGCCAGTTTAGCTCCACAGCCTCCAGACAGCCTAATAAAAATGTCAGAACACAGCTATGAAGGTAATAAATGTAATAAATAGATTGTTCAGGACATCTGCTTATGCAGCACTGCCTGGGTTCCACTAGGCAAGAGTGACAGGGACTGGCTCGATCAGGGACTCCAGAGCAAGAACCTGGATCTGTGTCAGGGCTTTGGGGATCTCACCCATAAACTGCATGAATGGTCACTGCTACAGCTGGACACAGAGGAGGGCTTGGGTGTGAGAAAAAATGTTGCAGAAGCCAAGCTGGTTTCACCTATTTGTTCAGCTTCAGGTATTGGCAGCATTAACTTGCTGGGGTTTTTAATAATGGATAGAAATATTTGTACAAGTCAGATCTATGTTCACTGTACCCAAGTACTTTCCTCAGCAGGAAAACAAATCATTCCTCTTTGCATCAACACAAAAGAGTTCGACAGGAAATGCCATTTCAAGCACCTTCCAAAGATGACTGCAGAGCACACAGGAACTCTCTTTCTGCACTCTGATAGCTCTTTCCATCTTTTGGACAAAAGCTTAAGCAGATTCTGCTAATTCCCAAAGCAGAAAGCTCCTCAGTCCACGATGGTGCTGTCGAGTGCAGACTTGTCAGGTCATTTGAATGCTCTGTAGAGCAGGTTTATGTTTAAACAGCATTTTCACACAGTTCTCCCTTCTCTGTGGGACCCAGTCCAGGCAATCACAGGCCTCTGCGGTGTTAGATTAAAAAAGCACAGGTCAGCAAACAGACAGATCATTTTGTTTAAGTATGGTGATCACCTAAAAGTTTACGCTTCTGTTTGTAACTTATTTCTCTGCCTCTCTGGAGGACATTTTAGTCTGCTGCTCTTCCTAGTCTCTGCTCAACAAACACTGTCCCTCCTGCTGTCCTGCTGTCAGGCCTTCCTGCATGTTCCCCTCACCTCAATATATATCCCATACCTCATCAGGGAGGGAAGATAAACAGCAGAAACCTAACACAAGAAGCTATCTAGATTTTGCTAACCACAGGATTAGCAGTGCTGTTGAGCTGGATCTGAGTGTAACATTTCTTCTGAGACAGCAATCCCCAGGCTGTGCAGAGCCATGGGGACACTGGAATGGAAATGAAGGCTCTACCCAACGATTGTCAAGACTGAACACTGCAAAAACATGACACCAAACAAGTCCATGTGCTTATGCTCAGGTCTTCACTAACTCCCTTGCAAGCATTAACACCTTTGTGCACTAGGATCCTATTTAATAACCTTTGAAAAGTTATTTTATTTATGCAAACACACATTTAGTCCTACCACAGCAGTACTCCTGGCTTCAGTGTCCAGTTACCAGGATGAGTTTGGACATGCCTGATGCCTGACATGCTGAGGTAGCACATGAACACATTTTCCATGACCGCAGGAGACAAAAGGTCTCCACACCAGAAGAATTTTACAAATAGCAAAATAAATAAAAATCCCACCCCAAACACTGACCACTGCCTGGAGCTGCAGCCAGGTCACCTGAATGAAGCCTCAGGAGAAGAGGGTCGTGCCCAGGCAGGCAGCGAGGAATGTCAGGTTACTGCAGAGCACTACCTGAGTGACACTGCAACTGGAAACACACTTTTCCTTTTAAGCCAAACTCAATCTGTAGCCTTTTTACTGCTCGGATTTTTAATAGCTGCTACTTGCTATGTTCTTGAGAAAACTGGGGATTAGATATACTCAGGAACTGTTTATGGACATCTGCTGCTCCTCCACAGCAGGACTCCAGGTTCACTACTTACCCCATTTGACTCTATTATTTTTATCCTACTGTAATCAAACACATTTAACACCCACCCCCTTGTTTTTCCCCAGAAGGAGTTTGGTTTTACTTAGCTCTGTGACCCCAGTAACAGGAGTCACGGAGCTCAGATCACCACATCAACAGCAGGCTGTCATTTCCTACCCCAAGAAGTTATTTCAAATATATTTTTAAAATGCTCATTTCAGACCTAACCTACAATGGTTGCTAAGTGCCCACAACAATTAAATACCTCCCATCCCTTCCAATACATTATGTATACTGAGATCAAGTCATGAGCTGATCTTGTGACTGCTGGAAGGCCGAGAGTAAAATGAAAAATTGGAGTTTAGCTGAGTTCAATTTGAGCCTTCGGGAATTGTGCTTTCCAGCTTTCCTCTCACTCATGAAAACTGTAAAATGAAGAAACAGCAATTCTTAAATCATCAGTTAGGGCTAGAAGACTGAAGTAAACAGGGCAGTCACCTTCCCTGAGCCACAGAATCACAGAACTACAGTGAAATCATGGGAATGTGCAACCAGGACAGTGTTTTCTTTTGCAGATTCATCCAAGTTGGCCCCAAAACACAAAGCCCAGATCCCATTCAAGTATTTTAAATGCTAGATATTATGGCTTCTGTTGCTACCTACTCACACAAACACCATTAAGTAAAGAACCATAACAGCCAGAGAGCTCATAAAGGGAGAACCATTTCACCTTCACTTCCTATTTACTCCCTCTGGAGGGAATCTGAAGCCTTTCACAAAATCTGGCTGCAACACTTTAAGGCAACAAAGTGTTCCTGCCATTGCAGAAGTCACCTGATACATACAATTTTTGCTTTTATTAGATTCAGCTGAAATAATTTTTTGATGGCTTAGAGGAAAGGAGATAAAGCTTACAACACCCCAAGAAGTCTTACCCTGCAGACTACACCTACATTATAAAAATCACCATTGCTTGTCACCATTCAATCAGCTGAGTTTCAATGTTTCTTTTTTACCAAATAATATTTACCAAAGAAAGTTCTTCCTAAAGCAACTAAAATCAGCATTTACAAGAGGTGAGCACCACCCTGCAAAACAATCCCAATAAAAAAAAAAATCCCTGCAAATTCTCGGTGTCTCCTAATTTTGGAGCATAAATTTGACTACCTGCATCAGCAGCAAATATCCACAAATCCTGAAAGTGCTGTTTAAGCAGCAGGTGC